AACAAGTGGTGCAGCGCCCTGGAGACGGCGTTGCCACGGACGGCGAGGCACTGGCCCTATGTCATTGGACTATGGCCCTATTGTCACGCAGCAAACTTTAGTTATGATATATGATCATTGGACTATGATTATTGTCTACCTCTATGTGACTCTGATTGCACTAGGACTCGGACAGGTCAGTTACAAATAGGTATCATTTTTAGAGAAAAGAACGTGAAAACGGACAAACACTGTGCGTTCCGAAGATTGATTGCTTGAAAATCTGACTGGCATATCGAATATTGCACCTAGGGAAACTCAATCTCTCCGCATTCTCCACTAGAAGACTAGAAGATCTAGAATCATCACCATTAAATCACCATTAAATCACCAATAAATCACCAATAAATCACCATTAAATCACCACTCAAGTGCTGTTGCGAATCTCTTCCACTCGAGTCCCTGGATGCTGAGGTTTGTTGGATGCCATGGTTGGACGCTGCTCTGCCGGAGCACCTGCGCTCTCCTATGCAAGCAATGGCTGAGAGGAGCCACGTTTCACCACTGGCACCTGGAGATGTTCCGAAGCGCTTTACCCAGCTTCAAGATAAGGGTAGGGGATGTTTTTGGGTCGAAAAATGGATCGTTTAAAACTAGACAGGACCAAATCTGTGGTTGGATTCAACATTTTGCCGACACATACCAATTGCCTCGGAAGGTAGACTGTGCAATGATGAAATTGTGGGCCCACTTGCTTCGACTTGATCTAATTATTATAGTTTGCTTCTATCAGGTGTTTATTACTTTGGCAGATCATGCACCCAGCGTGCAATCGTAACATCTTTGAAACTAGCTGAGCAGAGGTGGGAGCCTTGGTTGCTGAGGTCAAGTTTATTCATGTGCCAGGAAGAACCCCCAGGGATAGGGTCAACACAAACCAAACACATATCCTTTGAATACCTCTGTTGACTTTAGTTAATTCTTGGAAATGTTTTCAAACATGCTTGCAACGCTGCAACACATGACCCTGGGCTGAAGAATGGCCTGCGGAACCTCATGAGCAATCAACCATCCAATCTTTTTGCAGGAACATGTCAGCACTTCGGTATATTTCGGCCTAATGGCCATGGTATGCCATAGTATTTTAAATATGTAATATATATATATATATCATTGTTATATCCATAGCATCCCACTTCTTTGTTGCTCCGGAACTCCAACGCTGCCTTGACAGAGTCTGTGGATGTTTATGGTCTCGTCCACAAGTTGTAGGCTCCTTAGGACCGCGATCAACATCTCGTCACCATCTCGTCACCACTTGTCGTGTCATGATGCAAAAAAAAAGTTTGATGGCTGCAAGACTGTTTAAATCTGTCTGATTCAACATCAGTCAAAACGATTCAAATGTCATGAAAGCTGCATGCGGGCTGGGTGGCTTTGTCCTCGCATACTTCGTGGCACGCAACCAAATTACATCCTCAAGCTGCAGCCAAATCCCAGGGGGTTAGATCGATTGATCCATCGTATATCTCTGCCGGTTTCCCTTCCTTTCTTGCTTCTCTCAGGTAGAAAGCACAGACATTGACCTCACTGTTGCAAAACATATTTTGAACATTTTTGAACATGGTTGTTGTCAAAAAAGACAGGGGGTCAGCGGAAAAGAGCATTGGGCACAGTCAATTGCTTAGGAACGTGGCAAAGTTCATGCAGAAAAGTCATGGAAAATTGTCATTGTTTCAAAGTCTGTAGTCCCATAAGTTACCAGTGGGTACCACTGGGTATGGCTGGGTCCCACCGCACCAGGCCTCTTGAAGATCACCCAATGATACTGCATTGGCAGGGAAGTCAGCATCCTTGAAGAGGGTCGACTGCCTGCAGGGGCTGCCTCCAATTCTTCACTAGGAGAATGGCTCGAAATTGCGCAACCAATGGACCGAAATTCGGCCCTTTTTGGTGTTGCAGCAAACATTAATTTTGAAGAATTATGGGCTCCAACATAGAAGTTGGCTCAAGCATTGCAGGCATGCTTTGGCATTGCGACTCTCATGTGGCTCCGATATGACTCCGAGGTACGCATTACGAGTTGCGTAGATTCCTGGGAAAGGACTGGTGAGTCAGAAGGCATCCCCAACCCCTGGGTGTACCACTGGAAGGAACCATTTCTGAGGATCTTAATGTCTGGGCTGATGGTTCCTAAAAATCTCTTGGGTTTGGCACAAAGAACTTTTTCGTCGCGTGCATGCCCTGCTGGGGAACCCAGCTTTGAGACAAGGACAAATGTCTCTGCCACTCTGCCACTCTGCCACTCTGCCACTCTGCCACTCTGCCACTCTGCCACTCTGCCACTCTGCCACTCTGCCACTCTGCCACTCTCTGCCACTCTGCCACTCTGCCACTCTGCCACTCTGCCACTCTGCCACTCTGCCACTCTGCCACTCTGCCACTCTGCCACATGTCTTCAAGGCAAACTGAACACATCTTGTGACCTTCAGCAGCGGTCTTTACAAAATTACACTTCTCATTTATTCAGTTCAGCCCAAAGTTAGGAGTAGAAGCTCAGCCCCGGCCATCTCTTGCATAATCAATCCGCAACCATGGACCCGGCCAAGATTCTGAGACATCCACAGCAGTAGATGGCGCAGCTCCAAAAGCTCAATACGCATGGAGCGAAGATGCAGTTCCACAAGCAGCACGCTTTGCCGTACCTCATGACATAGGGATATCCGACATAATCCGACAAACTGTGAATGGATTTCATACCTCATACAAAATGGGCTGACCACAGTACAAGTATCACAACTCAAAAATGCTGAACAGATCGAGGATATCCTTCATGGGGTGCTATAACCCACCACCAATCCTTGCCACTTGCCGGAAAAGCGGCCGGAAAAGCGGCCAGAAAGGTACCACCCGGCTCATGTCAAACAAAGATTTGTGCTATGCGGCATGTCAAGAAAAAAATGTCCACATCCCTGACCGTTGCGACTTCACAGGCTTCACAACATGCTCCATCCGGAACCATGTGAGTCAGGTAGCAAGAGCTCTGCCCAGCAACTTTGCTCTGTCCTAAGTGGCGACATGGCATGGTGGGTCACTTTTAATCCAGCGATCGAAATTCGTACATGCCAATTACCCGAACAAGATCTGGATGATCTGGGACGCATGTTAGTACGAGTACAAATATAATGCTAAGCAGCTAAGCTAGAGGTACGTTGCATAAATGAAGCCTTTGGACGTGTTGTGGACGGCTCGTTAATGCTGCCTCTAAGGTCGGTCCCTATTCTGCATCGTTCCCAAGCCTTTCAAATCCAAAGGTCTTTGCGGGCATCTCGGAGCTGTCATCTTCGATCAACCACGTGTCCGCAACATGGCGCGCTTAAAGGTCAGACACAGCCGGCTGAAGGATGCTTTAGAGTTGGTCCTCACCTCGTTCTACATTATCTGATCATTATCTGATCATGTTGTCTCATGATAATTGCTACAGAATTACGGAAGGAGAGGCGTCGCATCCAGCAACCCCAGGAACCAGGAAACAGGACACTGTGATGAAGCCTATGGTAAACCGTACCCAACTTTTACGTACTTTTGCCAATAGCGGATCATTCTCAACCATACCCAATTGAAACCTATCCTTGGCTCTACCAAGCTTTACCTTATCATTTGGACTTCATAAAGGTCCTTTGTTAAGTCTCTGCAGTACAACTTCTGCATGATGTGACGCTCTCGTTCCTCAAATCTTCTACGAGCCAAGAAGGCTAGTTCCTGACGCTGGAAAGATGAGAACCAACTGAGAATCAAAAAAAATACTCTCAACAAAAACATACATCCAGATGCCATGGGAATGTTTCCAAATCTCAAGTCACCCTCAGCATCCCTGAGCTGCAACAAATGGCGACATGGCCAGGTCGATGAAGCCTAACCCGAACAGACTGACATGGCATAAAGCTGCCACTTTGGAACCCGCGATTTTGCGGCTTGATGAGTCAAGTTCGACCGGGCAAAAATCTGATTATTAGGCTTGAGAACACGCCGCATAGAATTTGAGGCTCTCTCATTCTCCATTATTGTCATCAACCTGTAATATCTGTAATTAGTAACTACATGGGATGCAAACCATTGCAAACCCGTCAACTCATCTCCCTTTCCATCCCTCTGTGGATCAGACCGTCCCAGCACTGGCAGATCGATGCAGCCGCACCTGAAAACTCGCCACTTTTGTTCACCCGCGGGAGATCCGCAGGAACGGAGTGTTTGTTGTAGTTGACTAATAACATATAAGTAGATATAACTAGATATAAGTAGTATGTATATGTGTATGTAATTGATTGTAATTGTATATATATATATATCCATATGATTCCATATGTACCCTGAATACCAAAGCCTCCAATCACCTCTCCAGGAAGCGCTGCTCACTTCGACCCATGACCAACCGAGCCTCTGGGGGAAGCCCCGATAGGCCAGACTGATCCTGACCACCAGAAATGGATGAGAAATGATGAGAATGAGCATATGGCTATGGATCAAAATTAGTTAACCCCCAAACAGATGGTTTAATCATGTTTAATCCTCCGACAATTGGTGGAGTCATGCGTCATCGTGCGTCCATTCGTATTGGCACTAAGTAATTCTGACCCATCTGAGAGTTTTCCAGGGTGACAACCACCTGGAATTCGAACCAGCTCGGGAGGACGCAAATTGGTCTACGATTGCAGCTCTGTTGGGCAGATCAGAAGCAAACTTGGTTGACATCATGGGTTTGTATGTGTCTTTATATTGAAAACCACTGGGGAATAAGGTCTCTAATATCAATACTCTTCATCTGTCACACAGCCCAGCAGAAGAACTGCAAGTCCATGAAGGTCCTGGTAGCCACCATTCGTGGCCGCCGCTCTCATTGGAGTGCTTGTGCCAGGGGTACCTGTCGACAATGCCAGGCCCATGGGTCATCCATGGTCATCCTGCTAGTCCCGCCGGGATCCGCCAGGGCACCTGCATCCCAATGCCACTGCACAGTGGTGGTAGGTGATGAGTTCCGCCGAGGGGTAGACTCAGTACCATCAAACTACAGCCAGGGCCATGGAAGCCTCACTAGATGGCCCACTCCCTAACATGTGTACACATGTATATTATATATATGTATGCAAATACCAAAGAATGTGTAATTACACCATATTTATCACTGCAAATCTCAATTAAAAAAAAAAAAACTTTTGTTTTTAGCTTTGCCATATTTGTTTTCTGTTGACTGTTCCTGACAAGGTCAGAGAATTCACAGAAGCTTTGCTGAATTGTGGGAACTTTGTTATCATGAGCGCTACCCAACCAGTGGACTTTGATGAACTCGGTCCAGATGTCCAACATACTCCGCGACATGTCCGATGTAGTTTCTCCAAACAAAGATGACCTACTTGTAGATGGCAAATAGTTGACTTGATCACAAGGGGGTTGTGTGCTGTCCATTCATATGCCGTCAATTTCTAAGACATGAGGCGGTGTTCATCCACAGGACCCATTTAGCCTAGCCTATCCTCTTGGTTTAGGAAAATGGTGGACCGTTGCTAAGACTCCATCAATGCAAGAAATAGTCTGTTTATATGGGCGTGTGTGAAAATATGGACTGTACATCAAAATCTCATTGTTGATCATCACTTTGCCTCTGAAAATTGCTGCTTTGAGGTATCCCCATGAACAAACGTGTTGAAATCTAAGGGTGGCCCAACATGTTCCTATCCTTAGGCTGTAACCCCAGTAGATGGAAGCGCAAATTCATGGCCGCCTGGAGAAGGTGTGAGATGCACATTGCATCAAGTGCTGTGATATCTATTGATATCAGTTGATATCTGCTAATCTCACATCAATATCTATACAAACATATCCAAGTTGTCTCATTCTCGACATCTCTCGTTCCTATTTGAGAGATACCAAAGGGAGAACCAGCAAAATGCACTTGACACATGTTGATGAAGTCCAAAGAAATGATACCGGGGATACCTTTGCTGCAAGTTTAGTGCACTCCATGGTAGCCGGTCCCATGATGAGCCGGATCAAGATCTGCAAAACTCGCCCGCCTACAGTTGCGACCATGGCTCCTTCTGGCACCCGCCTTGGCTCATGAGCAGAACGAAACCGAGCACTATGGTACCCCCATTTAACAATCTTTGAGAGTTCCAAATCCGCAAAATTTCCCTCAACAATCTATGAGTAGTTTTAAACTTTTAACTTTTAAACAGTTAGTCTGTTGATTTGTAACTAACCCCACAGTAAGTGTTGTTAGATGAATCATGATGGATATCTGTGATATCTCGATGGGGTTTCAGCCCCTGGACCCATGGAGAAGCGGAGCGGTCGAGAACGTCGACAGCATCCTGGGCCTCGGGATCGACGTCGACGTCGTTTAAAGGAAAAGACCATCATTGGCTCATGAACTGTTGAACTGTTGAATATCTTTGGATTGAAACTTTGGATTAGTGATGATTCCAGTGCGTATTTCATACAAGCCATTTCTGGAGGTTAATGCCTTGCCAAAAGATTTATTCATGAATTTACAGGTGGTAGAGAAAGGGAGGTTCTGGCCTGTAAATGCTGGCCAAGCCTGACTTGAGAGATTGTAAGTTGTTGTGGCTTTCCTTGCCCTCACTACTGCGTTGCTGTTCTTCTTGGAGCTGTTCTGCTCTTGTTGTGCATCATTTTGATATCGTTCTTGCTGCTCTTGTTCTCGCATTTGTTTTTTTTCCTTTTGTTGCTGATGCTGTTGCTGATGCTGTTGTTTCCATTGTCGTTCTCCTCGCTGTCGTTTTTGTCGATATTGATGGTAGGGGGGCAACTATAAGATATCATTCTGTCCACGGCAACTGCTTCATATCTTCCTATTTCACAATCGTGAAGGGCAGGATCCTTGAATTTTCTGGTCCATCAGCCAGCATCTGACCCAGCACAGGATATAGAACATACTACCAGTACCAATTCCAAACCATCCCAGCGCTCAAAGCCCTCACTTGGGGCTGCCACGTTTGCTCCATGCATGCATCGACGCCTGCAACGAGAATGCAGGGAGGCACATGGCGGGCCTGTGGCATAATTGATGTAGGTAAATGTACCTAATGCATCTCATAATATCTCATATATGCAACTAGAGTACTTGCAACATATTGCAACTGCGTATCTATAATTGTTTAAGAAAGAGACACAGTTTGAAAGTTTTGCAACGCCGGAAGCGCCTTGGTCTCCATCAGCACCGTTCCCAGCTTGAGAGCGTTCTGGAAAGTCAATTTGAGGTTTCTTCGACTCTTCGAGTACTGTCCTTGTTGAACATCACGCTGGTCAGGTTGAGCCTGCATATATGTGAGTGGTATCTTGAAGCATTTCTTGGAAGGTAAGTATTGGTTTCATCGGGGTGCTATACTTGCTGAAACCATTCTTGAACCATGCACTGAAAAGGGGCGGCAGCGGAGTCACTCAGGTGATTTTCTATTGATACAGTCGTTGTGGTCCTAAATTTATCCATGCCCAATGTCTCTT